TGCAGCTATTCAAATGCGAAAAACACTGTGCTGTAATGGATGAAATAGAAAACCTTTACAGTGATTCTGAAGGAAAAAAAAGTAAATAAATGGAAATAAACCATGCAGAATTACTTTCTGCTAAAGGAAGGAATGCCCTTGAGTTAATTTTAATCCACTATTTCATGTGCTGGAACACAGAGAAACCTAATTTCTTGATGAAGTACTAAAGTGTGAAGGGAATCCAGAATTTACTTTTAAATATAAAAAAAAATAAATTATGAGAAAGAAATGGAATTAAGTTTTAAACTGTGACATTTGCAGTTTGGGTTGATTGCCAAGCCACAGTTTCTATTGCTCTCAGACCAGGATAAACCAACCATTAACTACTAAAAAGAGTCATAGTCCATGAAAGCTATGATGGCATTTAAACAGTTCTTAATCTATTATTAAGAAAGAATAATTTGCAAAATATATTCTCTCCTCTGTTTATATTCATAGAGCCATGCTTAACAGAAATTATATACGGGCTCCCATGGTGTGGAAACCCCATGGAATTCACGAAAATTCACTAGCTTCTTTGCGTGCTGTGCCAAGATATTGAGCAGGAACTTTGGTCACTGCCAAGAAACACGGGTGCCTCAGATACAGAAGCTCTGCGTGTACCGGTATTTCAACATTCCTGGAGAGAAATCTGACCCCTTGATACATACACTGGTTCTCTGGCATGCTTACATTTCTCCCCATCTGTCAGAGTGGCATTGTGCCTTCTCACAAAGGTGGGATGCCAGTTTTGGAGTACAGGTGCCAACCAGATATGAGTTTAGACTAATATCCAGCAAAATGCAGCAAATATCATCTTGCCTGCAATAAGATCATCCTCGTTGTGGTGCAGGCCAAATTAGGTTCTCATGCTTCATTAGGAAACGTGTAATCAACTGACAATTCTAGGTACCAACAACAAATGCCTGTTTTCTGCAAAACATTGATTAGTCTGAGAATTTCCTAAACTGAAGTTCAAATCACTAACTCCTGAATTTTCAAAACATTACAACCATAATCATGCATTGGTATCTTTCAGAAAGCTGCAAGAAACCATGAGCAGGGGCATGATTGATTTATCCTCCTCAAGCATCCCTTGATAAGTTCCAATGTTCTTAAGAAAGGTAACTAGGTCAATAGATGAGAAGTTTGAAGAAAGGCTTTTGTAATCTTTCATAGGTTGGCAAGCATGAAAAAGGAGAGCACTTCTGGTATTCTGACAGTCACTAGGACAAGAGTCCCAAGAAAGCTCTCCTTTTAATATTTTTCAACTATTTATAGAAGGCAGCCAAACCTGTACACTAAGCAGTACAGCTGTGTGAAATTTTGCTGGCTGTTTTGTTTCGACTAATTTTGAGCTCAAAACAGCAAAATCAAAATGAAATGAAGGGCTTTGAAACAGTCTTGAAAAAAAATGAGGGCAGTCAAAACATTTCAAAAGTTTCAAAACGTTTTGAGTTTCGAAGCAGCCAGCCAGGTGGTGGGAGACAGGGGAACTCCCAGCGGCTCCGCAGCCCCATGTGGCTCAGCCCAGCGTGGAGCGCAGCCCTGGCTCTCCCCACGTCCCATGGCCAGGCTGTGCTCAGTGGGGCTGGCGGAGCTGATGGGAGCGCAGTGCCGGCTCTGCCTGCCTCCAGCCAGACTGCGCTCTAATCAGCTCTGCCAGCCCCATGGAGCTTAGCCCAATGGAAGAAGGCAGGCAGAGCCAGCACTGTGCTCTGCCTCCCGCCACTGGGCTGAGTTCCACGGGGCTGTGGGAAGCCGATCACAGCGCTGGGGAGGGGAACTCAGCCCGGCTGAGTTTCCCAGCCCGGCTGAGTTTCCCAGCCCGATGACAGCACTGGGGAAGTGAACTCAACTGAGCTGAGTTCCCTTCCCCAGCCCGATCGAAACGTCGAAACAGCATCAAAACAGCGAAAGCATTTTGACGAAATGGAACAGAGCAGTGCTTTCGAAATGAAACAAAACTCAAAACAAAACACTGTTCCATTGAAACGGGTGTCGAAGCAGAACGCTGCTGTTTTGCACAGCCTTACTAAGCAGTGTTATATATATATTGAAAATACATGAAATGGACAGTTTGAGAATATAATTACATAAATTAGAAAATGTGGTTGCTGGCTGTACAATATCTTTGCCCCTCATGTGTAGGAGTTACATTGTTTTCATATAGTCATAAAACTGAGTAATGCTATTTAAGAATCAGGAAATAAATTACATTCTGAATTTGTTTATAATGAAAAATGAATATATTGACAAATATTTTCTAAATAAAAGAAAATGAATAGTCACTAGACCCATAAACAAAGCAATCCTAAACCAATATAGGTTTCATTTCCAAATGGTCATAGTCTAAGCTATATATAAATGTAAACCACAGTGAATCTGGCATGGGTAGGCAAGGAAAGCTTTCTGCTTTCAAGAAAAAATCCACTGGCCTCTTACTGCAATTTTTTGTGACTTAAATAATTTGTTTATTGAAAAATGTACTTTATACATCAGCAGTCTTTGGTGAGTTTGTTAAATAGACCACTCAAGAGAGGGATTCAAATTATGCAGTACCTTTTGACTTTTTTTCTCTGCTTATTACTTGGACAGCTTGTCCATACTTCTTGTCCATACTTCTTAGACAGCTTGTCATACTCAGATGCAGCCATTTAGCCTCACCAGCTTTGATAAGCCCATACTAGCAAATATTAATGAATATCCCAATGCACATATACATTATGCTATTTTTACCTTAAATTTGCTATTGCCAAACTATCTCTGCCCTGACTCTTAACCACATTCTATGAAGGATAACAGAATCCTGTTACTCTACCAAGCTCCTTAAAAGGAGGACACCCTAAGAATTCCTCTTCTCAACATGAGGAGGAAAGAGAACAGAAGTTAATTCCTAAAATTAGAAAGCATTTAGTAAGTAGAGAACATAGGCTGAATTACTTCACACAATGGGAAATACACATACAGAATCAGATACTTGGAAAGACCATTAAAACAAGGATGTTAAGGAGGTCAAGAAAAACCTAAAAGTGTTTATGGAGAATGTAGGGATTGGTGGGTATAGTAAAAAAATAGAGAAAACTTGAAAAAGAAAAGGAGGAGGGATGGAAATACTAGTTTATATAGGCCTGTCCTCTTCTCTACATATTTTTTAATATTCTTTAATGATACTGCTCTTCCACATCCAATATCACATCAAATTGTGCATTTAAAATTCCTTGACTCAGCAAATTAAAAATATCATGATAGTGTCTAGAAATGCCTGCTCTGAAAGCCAGGATATATATATGAACTGCCAAAGTATTGTGCCTGCAGCTGTTTCAGCTGAGATCTCAGTGACAACTGCTACAAGACAATTGTACAAAGATACTTGCTACTATAGGCAAGGTAGGGTTGGTTTGAAGCAAAGTACTTGGATGATTAATATAATAATCACTAACTTCAACCTTATATAATAGTTTGAAAAGATACTGCATGAATTTTAAAAGCTAAGTTGCAAAAAACAGATCTCAGGTCTGGGAAAGTAATTAATTTTCTATTGTTTTGTAATATTTATTGTATTTACTCATTCAAAGCCCAGTAGGCTGCTGCTGCTACACAGTTAGTATTCAACAATCTAGTGTAAGAGAAGTGAGCAAACTTTACAGCCTTCTGCCTTTACAGGAAGTGTGTTAGAGCAATTAAATGTCCAAACCAGCATTGCCAAAGAAACATTGCCTACTTAAAGTAACATCCATCCATCTAGCTACAGTGAACCATGTCACTTTATAGCAGGGATAGGCAACCCCCCTGGCATGTATGCCAATTAGCAGCACAGGGAGACATTTTAATTGGCCAGGAGGCGCGTGAAAAAATTATTTAAAAAAACAAAATTTTTTTAAGTTGCTGCTCTGGGCTCTCTGGAGCAGCCGCAGGTCCCAGTGCTGTGGCAGGCACCTGGGGTGGGGTGAGGAGCACACAGGAAGAGAGACAGTCTGCGTTCTGCTGCCCGTGCACTCTGTCCCTGGAGGGGAGCTGCAGCTGGGTGGGGCCGGGACCTGGGCAGGCGCTGTGGAGTGGTGCTGTGCTGAAGGTTTCTGGTCAGCTCGGCCCCGAGCATTGCCTGCAGCAGCTGTTCCCACGGCCCAGAGGCGATCCCACGGCCAGGCCCTTGCACCAGGGGTGGCTTCACCCCACTCATGCTATGCCCAGCACACATGGAAGACAAGCCCAGAGGTCCCCAAGCCCGGCATCCTGCCCTGGCCAGATGCCATCCCCTCAGGAGTAGGGCAGCTGCAGCCCATCCTCATGGAGCTGCATGGGCTGAGCTGAGCCCCAACTCAGGTGCTGCTGGGTGGCCCTGCTCAGCTGCCATGGCCTGAGTCGCAGAGCCCCGGGGCAGCCCCTGCTTCCCACCCAGCCCCAACTCTCCTCCAGCTGCCGCCTTCCCAGGGGCCTGGCTGGGCTGGCCTGCCCTGACCAGGACACCTCCTTCTCTCCCCCCGGACCCTGCCCCAAATGCCCAGCCCCAGCACACGACATCCCAGTGTTGCCCCCACCTGGGTGAGTCAGGGCATCTGTCTGTCCAAGCCGTGGCCAGTCCCGCCATCCCTCCCAGCTCTGGGCCCAGGCTACCCCCGCTCTGGGACTATTGAGGAGGTCTGGGCGCCTTGGCCCTCGCAGCTGCTGTTGGGGTGTCACTGCCTCCCTCTGCCAGACACTGCCCTGAACTAGCGGGCCCGAGATACAGCTGGTAACAGTGGGAGACATGGGCAGCAAGGGACACACTTTTTCTCTTTTTCCTTTTTTTTTTCTTCTCTTTTTCTCTCTCTTTCTGCTGTTCTTCTTTTTCTTCTCTTCCTTCTCCTCGTTTTCTCTCTTCTCTTATTTCCCCATTTCTCCTCTTTTTCTTTTTTCTCTCTCTCTTCTCTTCTTTTTCTCTATCCATTTTTCTCTGTCTCCTCTTTTCTTTCTCTCTGTCCTTTTTTTTCTCTTTTTCTGTCTTCTCTCTCTTCTCTCAACACAACATGCTTAACAAAAAAACCACACAAAAACAAAGGTAGTATATGAAGTTTTATTTATGGTCACCGGGTTTAGAATTTTTAGAAAACCTGATATTTACTGTAAAAAAAGCAACATTTATGATTATTAACTATATTAATATGCAGTGCATCCTGTCACGTACCCCCTGCCCCAGATTTGTTTTTCTGGTGTGTTGGCACTCCAGCACCTTACAAGGTAGACACTGCAGTTTTTTTGGCACTCCGACCAAAAATGTTGCCTACCCCTGCTTGATAGGCTTTGTAGGAGCTAAATGGATAAACAATGACAATACTTACACAATTATACACTATTGGGATGCAGATCAATAGGAATGTTCTTGTAGTGGCTGAAAGACTTGGTAGTACTGTGGGGAAAAGACAGCATCATGATTCATCTCTGCAAATCTAGAACACTGTAAAAAGAGAAATCTCAATCAGTCTTTTACATTTTACTAGGATAATAGGTACATATGAAAAATCTCTTACTTTCAGAAAATACAGCAGCCAGGGGCCAATATCTTCCCACAGATACATGCACAGTTCTCACTTAAGAGAGTTTGGAAGCTGTATAGATCTTGAACACTTCAGGTGACAGAATGATTAAACCGTGGTCATAATTATACATTGTCAAAAATATTTTCTTAACAAAACAAACTGAATATTCTCTTGACCAGTAAGCAAAACAATCCTAACACAATATGATATGTTTAAGATAAACATAGTCTAGACTCTAATTAATGTATACATGTAAACCACAAGCAGATACTTAAAAACATGAGAGAACTTAGCTAGCCTTCTCCTGCCCTACTAGCAGTTGCCAGCAAAAGTACACAAAAATGGGCGAAGTTAGAAACATATTTAACAGTTCTGGTATCTTACATTGTTGGACCAATCTCTTTCTTGCGTTCTTCAATCCTGCTTCAAGATTTATGAACCTCCAGAAGAGCTGGGTTTGGGCATTGCCATTTCCCTTGCTACTAGCCCTCTAAATGGAACCATCTGATAAATATTGGTAGTGAAGCAAAAGATGCATTTCATTACAGAGATTTTCACCTGTAGAAAAGAAAACCATAGCACAAATTAAGATTCTCTGTTTTGCTTTCTGGAAATAATAAAATAAAAGCTTCTTCATAACCTTACAATTTATGTTCTTAATAAAATGAGTTAAAACTAAATGTTTATAAATACTACAATACTTAAAACTTTAATGCTACAACTTTTTACAAGTCAGCTAGACATTCTTGACACAAAGGTATTTACAGGCAACATGCAGTGTTTCCTGTCCAACTGCATAGGTTGGCTAGAACCTGATCTTGAAAGCACTTCAAGTACATGCTTAACATTATCCACTAGTCATTTTAATTAAGCCATGCAAACTTCGAAGATGTATGAAACCAATAGGCACTTCCAATATTTTTAGGATCAGAACATTAGTGAAATATTTTGAAAGCGACCACATCAGTTACATAATGCTACCACTATGCAGCAAAAGCCAGTGCGAAGTAAATGGTGTCATCCTGTGATCCTTACACAAGTAAAATCCTATTAGCCCACCTGCTGATAGAGATAGTCTGGTGTCTTCCTCCGCAATTAACGGAGGTGCCCAAAGACCAAATTCTGCTGGGATGTCATACATGCATTATTGACTATATAACAGGGATTTAATTTCCCTGTGACCAAGTACTATTTTTTGGGACCTGGGAAGGAAACAGATGATTTCAGCAATTCATGATCACTATCTCATCCCATAATGAAGTCCCCTGTTATACATAAAACTGCCATGTAATAACCTAAAAATACTGAGATATAACAATTTTCTGAACACTACTAGGTGATGTAATCTTATCACATATTAGTTATAACAATTTCTTCTATAAATATTTTAATTAAGCCTAATAGAGGACTGTAGAAGAAAAAAAAAAACAACAGGAAAGCAATGCAACAGCTATAGCTAAGTAAACCTCCCAACACGCTCTGGAAGGAATTACAGGACAATGGCTCTAGCCCTAAGCAACACAACTATTTGCCAGGTATGGAGTCTAGAGATTGAAACGACATTAAAACCCTCACAAAACCCTCACAGGGGTGGAAAGGGTGGTAATTTGTCAGTGATTGTCTGGGGGGGTAGACAGAGGTTATCAGAATAAGCTGGGTCTTCTTCAGATCCAGGGAATGGTAGTCTTTCAGGAGAGATGGGCATGTGTTGTATATGTTTTGGTGTGCTCAAAGGAGCAGGAGGAGTCAGAGATGTAGTCAACTGAAGAACTGACACATTTTGTAGCTGTGTGTTGGGATAAAGACAGCAGTGAATTTCTGCTCAATTCCAACAGCAAAGAAAGCAAGACTTAGAAAAGGAAAAAAAGCCAAAAGAGTAAAAAAAAGATTTAGTCTTCTCAGGAAAAAGCATAAGAAGAGATGGGAAAGATAAACTGTGAGAAACTCAGAAAAAGTCACCTGGTAGAAATAAGCAGAGATGCACCTAAATAATCAAGAGCTGACTTTGGCCACAAATAGACATTCAGTTTCTTCTGGGAGAGTCACTGCTCTCCCATAAAAAAATATGAAACTACAGATGTTCAGGATTTTTCTCCCAGAGAAAAATATACCAGGAACAACCAAGGTTAAATCATTCCTGTGAGAGTTTCTCCTAGAAAAGCAAATGTTTCTATTTTTCCTTTGGAAGGAAGCTACAGCACAGTTCTACAACATCCTAAGATGTTTTCCTGCCCTTCTCCCTCCTCTCCCAAACATAGTGAGTCACTTGGGCTGGACTCTACTCCTCCAGCCAAGCAGAGACCAGAACATGCCTCCTTCACAATTCCCACATTGTGCTGCAGGAAGACACAGGCTGACCCTGAGCAGTCAGGGTCAACCAATCAGGGCTATCCTGTACACTGCTGCCACTTGTCTCCAGGCAGACTAAGGGAGCCTGCAGGGCATGCTGAGATGAGTGCACAGGGGCCCCTGGTGGCATAGCATCAGCAGTGCACACTATCTGCTCTTCAGGGACTCAGCATTCACATGCCTGTTCAGGGATCTCTTTTCTACAAGGAAAACAAAACTGGGAGAATTCTTCCAGATCATTTAAACATGTGTACCCAGCCAAATGCACAGCTGCTGCTCTGAGGAACAGAAAAAAAAATGATCACAAGGGGACTTGAGAGGAGTATCCACATTATCTGCAGATATAATAAAGAGAGAGAGAGAGAGAGATAGGCCAGAACAAGCCAGCCAGACTAGTAAATCTAAGGGACAGCCTCCTAGAGCAAAACATGAAAGAGTATGAAAGAAGCAGCAACTGGGTTCCTATCAAATAATTCAGCCGCAGCTGATCTTGAGCAGGCAATAGTTTGAGGGGGGGAAACATCAGCTTGAAAAAGAAAAGCTGCGTGTAGAGGCCAAACAACTTGCAGACAGCGAGAAAAATGAAGACAGTGAGAAGGAATAGCAGGACAAACAAGAATGGAGAGTAGAAAGAAAGAAGCAGTGAAGCGATTGGGGAAAAAAGACCAACTACCATGAACGTCAAATGGACAAAATGGGCCAGCAACATTCTGATTCAGTGGATGGAGACAGATTCTATGACAACCAAGACACCTAGGTCCAGGGGCAGCATAAGTTCTAAGCAGGTACCTTGTTATAGGCATAGGAATAACACAAACGAGTTTTTCATATTTTTTGAGAGGATTTAAATTGGGTAGCCACTGAGCACTGAGTTCAGTATCTTTCTCCCTGTCTAGGTGGATGCTTTCATCTAGGGTCTAGAAAAGAAGCTGGAAATTATGAGTCATGTAAACAAGCTCAGTTACAAAAGTTTGAATTAATACCTGGTGTACACAGGAACAAGATTTCTGGGCTTCGGGGTATCAGATAAAAAAGGATATAAACTATGCTGAAGGGCACAGGGATACACAGGAAAACAGCAGAATTCTTGCTAGTATTACAGGGTGCTGATGAGCCAATGAGTCTGGAGCATTTTTTTAATTTTTTTTTTTTTTTACTTTTTTTTTTTCCATCTGACCTAAAATCTTGGATAACGGACAAAAATCCTAGAATAAGCAACTGAAAAATGGATTGATAAATGTGCATGGCAGATAGATAAGGGCTGAAAGAAAACTCAGAGTAGAGTGCCACATGGAGTAGACTTAGGATGGAGGACACAAAAGTGCTTCCCTGGTAATGGAAGCAAATAAACTCAAGGCACAGAGATCTGCAGCCTTAAACCAACCTCCTAATATCAATACCCAAGATATGAGATATCATCATTGCATGGGAGCATGATACAAATAAGCTGACTGCCCAACAATTAAGCACCTGTAGCACTAGGCCATGGAGGAAAACCTTTCTGAGATTGATCACACTTTTGAAAGAGCCACCCGGATACTTCATGAAGAATTGCTGCAGTACAGAAGAAAAACTCCTGTGAATTGCACATCACTGGTTATGACATAGCATCCCTCCCTGGAACCTATATGGAAAATCCTCAAACAATTGCAATTCATACTAGAAGGAGACCCAATTCTTAAAGAGCTCTTCCCAGAACCACCCATCCTATCCTTTAAACCAACACCAAACCTTGCCAACCACATCACCAGAAGCAAAACCTCCCACAGCCCAAAACACGCTGAATGGATCCAGACCAATGCCTAACCCACTCACAATTAAATCAGTTTGTCTGACTAGGCCCATCTTACCACATGATCCAGATTTACTCTTTATGACTGCCTTGTCCTCATCATTTATCAGCATTTATGATTTTTTCTAAATTCTCTCCCTTTTGCAATTTTTGTCAGCAGTGATTTCCTCCTAGATGTTTCAGAAAATTACTTGATAGCACTAGGCCAACTGCTGATTCCTTTGGACTTTCACTAAAAAAACTTAAATTAGTCCCATCTTAGGTAGTAACTAGGGATGTGCAAATTGGGCCCTATTCGATTTGGATTCGGCCTGGATAAGGGACAGTGATTCAGTTCAGATCACTGTCCCTGATCAGATTCGGACGAATCAAAACATTCTATGCTGATTCAGACAATCACTGATTCAGACATAGACACAGCTTTAAATGTTTTTTCTACATACCTTGAGGTACCAGAGTGGCTTGTGAACACTGCAGTGCTGGGGCACATGGAGCATTGCACAGGAGCATTGTGGGGGGGAGTACTTCCAGTCCATTTCCGCATCTGCCAGGGAGCATGCTGGGGGCCCTCCCCACATCCCCCGGCTTGGTGATCAGCTGTGGGGAGACCCCGGGTGCCCCCCCAGACCCAGAGGGCACCAGTTGCTGAGCCTGGGGGTGCAGGGGGGTTCCGCAGCACACTGTCTGGCAGACCGGAATTGCTTCTGGTCCACTTCCTGGTCTGCTGCCAAGCATGCTGGGGAGCCCCCCCCACTTCTGTGGGACACTCCATGAGCCCCAGCATCACAGCATTCACAAGCCGCCTGCTACCTCAAGGTATGTAGAAAAAACATTTAAAGCTGTGTCTATGTCCGAATTGACAAATCTTTCCAAATCGATTTGGAGGGTTCTGATTCAATTCAGAGAGATTCAAGGGTCCTTTGATTCGATTTGGATTCAGAGATTTGGTCACTGAATTGGGCCGAATCTCCACCAAATCAAATCAGAGACCAAAGTTTCGCACAGCCCGAGTAGTAACCCAGCCACATGTTCACATGGTGTTCATATGTTCACATAGTAACCCAGCCACATGTTCAAAAGGTGCAACTAAACAGGGAATAAACCAAAGTGGTTAGGCAAAATGTGTAAAAACTTTGTGGCGAGTTCCCATCGCTCCTTAAATTGAATGTATGGTCAGGCCAATCAACCAAGTGAAGCTTCCAGCCTCAGAAGTGCATTGGAGCCCTTGACTTTGATGCTATCCTGAGACTAGGAGCACTAATCAGGAGACTGACACTCCAAACCAGGTGCATTATGACCCTGGGCTCCCCCTGAATCAGCAATATGGCACAATTGGGATCCGATTCCCGATTACACAATCATAACTCCTGCTATGCATGGGTAGCATGGTAGGAAGTTAAATTGCTGGGATCACAGATCAGATCTCATTGAACTTTTAAGTGAATGAAGATCCTGCAGTTCTGTTCCCTTTAGCAGCAGCATCAAATGGATTATAACAGGGGTGGGCAATTATTTGGACCTGTAGGCCACATAGAGAGTTTTGCTAAGCTGTTGCGGGCCAGAAACCACCCTACCCTCCTCCCCACAACTCACCAAAACTTCCTATGTGGGATGGGAAGGCAAGCAGGGAGTGGTGTTTGGGAGCAGGACAGGTGGGTGAGGCTGGGATCACAGGGTAGGGTCATGGGATGGTGACAGTACAGAGCCGGTGCAGAGCCACAATCCACTGTCCACACACCCTTGTGATAGGTGCAGGTTCCACAGGCAGGGACATACAGCGAGCAGATCAAAGTTCTGCCCTGGCTCTGTGTTGTCACCACCCAAAGATCACAGCTCCAACCTGGGTATGTGCCCTGCCTGCACGGGTCCTAGCCAGTCTCCATGGAGACCCTAGGGTCACAGGGCGGTGACAGCACGAGCCAGGAGAAGAGCTGTGTTGTGCTCCCTGCACATCCCTGCCTGCAGAATCGGGGCTCTGTCCCAGCCCCAGCCTCACACTGTCACCGCCCCAAAATCCCAGGGTCTCCCTGGCCCTGCCTGCCTGTCTTGCTCCTGGACACTGCTCTCTACCAGCCCATGGCCCCATCCCAGCTGCCCAGGCTGTGTGCCCTGCCCGCATGGGTCCTGCCCTTGACAGTGGGTGCATGGCAGACAGGCCAGGGTGCCCAGGCAGCAGAGCTAGGTCCAGCAGTGGCAGCCAGAAGGAGCCGCCAGAAAATGGAGTCCAGTTGCCATACCACCCTGGCCCTGCTGCGCACCTGGGGGCAATGGGACCAACTGCATGCACCACAGCTCAGGCAGCCCCTTGTACCTGTGCTGGGTGGGATCGAGGGACCCAGACAAAAGCTGTATTTTGCCCACTCCTGGATTATAGTGACCAGGCAGCCTTATAGGAAATGTTAGTTATTTTAAACCTAAGGCATTAAGAGAAAACTTCATAAACCAACAAGCCAGTCTGTATGCATGCCTCCCCAAGGCTCACTGCTGAAATTGAGGAAGGCCAAACTTTTTCACTCCTTTTGCAATACCACTCTCTTCCCATCATCCTGTTCCCTTGGATACCCTATGACCACTGATCCCCTATATCCTTCCTGAGAGTGCTTTTTAACTGTCTCTGGCAACAGAGTTATGTCAGTTTGAGCTGGAGCCTAGAATAATGCCATTGTCTTGTAACTGGCATCAGTGTTTGTTGGGAGGTTTGCTTAGCTACAGTTACTGTATTGTTTGCCTTCTCTTTTATTCTGCAGCCACCAATGAGCCAAATTCGATACACTCCTATTCATTCCTAAAGGAAAGTAATGTTTAATATTAGCCCTTCAATGACCAGGATATTGCACTCCAATATGCAAAATTATTACATATTACTTTTCTTAGATTATTGTACAGAAACTCCAAACCAGTCATACAGCTTGTTGTGAAACTAAAACCAAGTGGAAATAGAAAATCTTAGAACTTCTGATAGCAGAAAAACTGAAACAAAAACTGATACAGAAAAACCAATACAATAGCTAATTACAGAGGCTCCTTCCAAGTAGTAGTGCCATCATGCCATTAATTGTTGAATCCACTTGTCAGCAAGGCTCAGAAAAATTTCAGGCCTTAGCAATTCTCTAACTACCAAATAATATGCCATTCTGTAACATGACCTCAACATATTTGAGGTTAAACTTTGTAAGTCTTTTTCCACTGTTCCTAAGCTTTGGAACTTAATCAGATCTACAAACAACAACAACAACAACAGGGCTGTATCTTACTACTACTTTTTAAACATTTTCATTGCATATTTCCTCTATAACAATTTTTTAAAATGAAATGATAAACAGGTTTCCCTTTTTGGTTAATAAAAAGTTTGGCCTGTGTAAGGACTGAAAAACTGGACTCCAAAATGTCAACTCTGGTTCTTCAAATATCTAGATATTATCTCCTACTACAGCCTTAACATACTATTTCATCCTATTTACAAAAAAATTATAATCCATAATACTTAATAATATATAAGCCCATTCTTACACACACTACACGTAACAGCGCTAAGTTTACAGAATAATGTTTAGGTTGCAGAGTGATGCATTAAAAAAAATGAAGTAATAGGTACCAGGTTTATTCCTAAGCAACTTTAACAGCATCTTCCTGTGCATCCATCCTGTGAATAACTCAGGAAACTTGTGGGGGAAAAATAGTATGCAACAGGGGTGGGCAAAATGTGACCCGTGGGCTGGATGTGGCCTGCCAGGCCATTCTATCTGGCCCACAGGACCCCTAAAAAAATTAGAAAATTAATATGCATCTGCCCCTGGCTGCCTGTTATGCAGCCCTCGATGGCTTACCAAAACTCAGTAAGTGGCCCTCTACCCAAAATAATTGCCCGCCCCGGTATATAATCATGTAAAGAGAGTATCATAATGCATATATATATATATGCAAAGGGCCAAAATAAAGTTGTTGAGGTATTTCCTAACTTTTAAGTGCTTGTATATGCAACCTGAATACCATTCTTTGACACAGGTTTTAAATAAAATGGAATAGGTTTCTTTAAAAGGAAATAGGTAAAACAAATTGTAACCTGTGCTGGCATGCTAGGCCAGGTGAGTTGCCAGATTTTCGATCCTCAGGGTGCCAGTGGCCTTGGGACCCCCTCAGGCAGATCTGATGACTGAGGTGTCCCATGGAGAGGTGTGTTCCTCACCCTCACTGCCCAGGAATTTACTCTGAACCCAATGAACACATTGGTTTCTTTATTATGTGCAACTATATACAGAAAAGAAATTAATAAGCAAAAGAAGAAAAACATATCAAATAACAATAGGTTATAATAAAACCAACTGCAACATTAAGTGAATAATTCCAACACACTGGGTGGTCCCACCACTTGCATCAAACAACCTCAATAATTACCTTCACCTGGTATAAACTTTTAAAACAGTTCCCCCTGATAATCCAGGTTGATTTCCCTCTGGTCACAATCCCCTTCCCATAACAATAAATGGCAACGCAGCTTTAACTATGATCCACCACTAGATGGTGAAGGTGAGTCTTCTGCTGTTCCGGGGAAAGTGAACTCCTTGGTCTTTCTTAATAACTCAGCAAAACAAGTCTCCGATCAGCCACTGCACATAATAGGCTTCTTTTCTATAGTTTCCTTTTGAAAAATACACCTCCTGCAAACACTAGGGATTAAGTGTCCCCTCCTACACCCGTGTGGCTTGGGGATTCTCACAGCCCGCTCCCTTTCTGAACTGTCTCTCTCCCCCAGCACCTCCACATGCAGACAGCGGATTCCCTCTGCAGGTCTCTGTTCCTGCAGTACGAGCCTTGCCAGCTGAAGCAGAGGACTTCCTTCTGCAGGTCTCTGATCAGGCAGCTTCTCCCAGCTAGCTTAGCAACCCCTCCCCACTCCTTCCCTGGGTACCTGTGTGCCTGATTGCATAGCTCTGACCTGGGTGGGAAATCTGCTTCTCCTGGGATACTCAGGCTCTCCTCTGTCCTGATGTCTGCTCCCCAGCGAGCCTCAGCTCCATTCCCTCTGCATGGGGGGAGGAAAAGAGGGGAAGGGGGAGGGGGCTGCGTTTCTGCCCCTCTCTCCAGGCTGGTGTTGCTCCCTTCTGGCTTCTCTGTTCTTCTTTTCACTCCCTCAACTTTTTATGGCTCAATAGCAGCCAATCAGAGCCCTCAGTTTGCAATGGGGGCTCTGGTCACAGTTCAAATGTTCCAATAAAAAGCATGCACTGTGCACAGCACACCATCCAGCCTGGGAAAGCTAATGTACCCTCTGCAATTTTTTTTTGCTGCATTTCTTTCAAAGTTCTTAGGCACAGCTCACCCACTCAGCTTGCAGCCAAGTGAGCCTTTGCAGCTGTTACAAAATTATATTATGTAGAACTGCAACAAGACTTCCACCACACATCATAAGCAACATTTGAACTTTGAACCTTTAGTGCCGTGTGGCACAAACCTGTACTGCTATAAGAATACCTATAGTTGCTGAAAGTAGATTATTATCCTAGGAAGTGGGTAGGCAGCTGGTAAGTCTTTGCTTCGGGTAAAACTGAAAGAAGCCCAGTCATGCTCTCTCTGTCTCGCTTGCAATTGGGAGAGAGAGTTCCTGTCCTGTGCACAGACAGGAACGTGAGCTTTTGTGGAAACGTTCTGAGTTTCAAGGAGTAGCTCTGGGCAGCCCCACCTGGCTCTTCCTGCGACTCATTACTATGGCTCCATTAGCTCCACAGTATCTGCTGCACTGGCAGCACTGTGAGCCCAGCCTCACAATGTTTGTATTTGGTTACTAATTTGACGGACTGCCAAAGTTCTCCTAAGCAATGCAAGGAAAGAGGGGAAATGGGGATTTTCAAAGGTTTATATCTCAGCAAAACCTGAATGAAATTTCATGGAATGAAGAAAAGTCACTTCTCTAGCCAAGGGCTTTCTGCCTGCCAAATTTCAAAGGCTGAATCCAAACAATGAAGCTGTTGGAGCTTCTCAAATCATGCTTTTAATATTTCTTTTTCACATGGAAACTGCTAGAAAACTAAACATTGGAATCTGCTACCAACTGTCACTGTAGATAGGTGGATAAAATAAAGCCAATATCAGCTGTTAATATTTAAGGGTTTAACTACCCTATTGATGAAATTTGTAGCACTTTAGTTTAACATAAACATACTTCTCACTGACCCTCTGCTATGGACCTTCAGGCCTCTTTGCAAGGTAGAAAACACAAGCCAAGAGACATAGCTCTGCTAGGGACCTGTTTGTGACCTTAGATGAGGAAACTTTCTGGGTTTCACTCTCCCTCCTGAAAAACTGGGATAATGTTACTTATTCTCTTTGACATATCACCAATTTAATTATTTGAAAAACACCATATTAAAGTATTACTGTCTTGTACTCCCTTTAGCTGACCGTGGTCATCAACACTAGTGGAGTTCATAGTGAGCAGGAATTGGTGAGAAGCAGCTGTTACCACCTGCTCTGCTCTTCTGTTCTGAACAGAAATAACAATTCTAATAGGCAGATTTGGGAAGGAAGTGGACACTTTCCACTTTAATGGATTTTAATGGGAAGTTGTTTCTGTATTTCACAGCAACACAGAAATCAGAAAAATTATAAAGACTTATTAGGCCAATTTGCCAATGCTTCCACAAGAGCAGGATTTATCCCTGTGTAACATTAAGAAGTGCTATGTCCATTTCACATTCAGACTATTAAAGTATAGGTCTTCTGCTACATCTCTTTGGAAAACGCACATGAAAAGTTTAGATTTACAGTTTTCTCAAAAGCAGTTCCTCAAAGCAATACTGGATGTTGCCTATATACACATTAAAGGATGACACATACCTTTATCTGTTTGACCACAAGAGAATGAAATAAAGAAACAAGCAGAACTTCTCTAGACAAATGTATATATTTTGGTAATACTAATGTTTTTGTGCTATTGCACAGATTTGCACTAAAATAACTATTTTTGCAGATATTTTGTATGAGT